TTAATTAAAAACGCTAAGTCGGTACAATTACAAATAGTATAGCTATATCAGGTAATTAAAATTTGGGGTATATTTCAATAATTTAAATGAGTTACAATACAGGGCCGTACACAGAGGGGGGGGGGGGAGGGGCAATGCCCCTAGAAAAAAACTATATTTACGATTTTTAGAATTACATTATTAATTATTCTTTGGGTATTTGGGACTTTTTTCGGCATATAGGCCTTACTGCCCCCTTAGTGAAAAATCCTGCGTACGGCCCTATATCAATATATTAGTCGTCTTCATTACATTTGGAAAAATGATGTATACGATTGTACGGTGCTTAGTTTTTTACCTAATACTATGTTATAAAAGCTGATTTAATACACTAGATAGATATACCGCAGGGTATCTAAAAAAAACGAAGTCCAAATTTAGCATGCAATGGTGCGTTAATTACTCGGCCCAGTGACAGTGTATTGACGTAATTTTTTCACGTAGTTACTAAAACAATAACTGAAGTTCAGGCCCTAATCACAGAATAGGGCCTGACACAAAACCTATCTAAACTGTGGGATTCACGTCCACCTGGTGGACGGGAAATCTGATTGGTTGATCAGCATCATGAAGGATTTTGATTGGTTGCAAGTTCACATAAACAACAGTTTTAAAAATAGCTCGGTCAAGGCGAGAATTAATATAAAGGTCAAACGCACGTAATTCCATTCCATTATCGATTTCTTCGAATTTCTTTTCTTTTATGCTTTATGGCAGAAAATAAATCGAACAAACAGTATTTTGAAAGGGCTTTATCAAAATCTTGGACGAATTTTGGACACACACGACGCTAGTGAAAGAACAGCCAAACTAGTCATGTATTCGAAAGCTTGTTGTTGACAGCCAAGATGTTCTGCCAACTTGCTTCGCCGGCAAAAGTCTTATTTTTAATATCAGGTACTACCGGCGTTGTTTTCTGAGCTACATCGCCTTCTTCGTGGTATGATTGAGTTTAACTTTAATGCTGTTGTTAAGGCCCTGTTACACGGTGCAATTTTTCATGCAACTTGTCTCGCAATGGCGTTGCGAGACAAGTTTCACGAGTCATTGCACCGTTTAACATGCCTTGCAATGGTCAAAATCGTTGCGAGACAAGTTGCATGAAGCATTGCAGAGAGTAGAAGTCGGTTTTACTTTTGGCAACGATTGCACTAATTATTTTAAGCGTTGCAGCGTGTAACATGGTTTCGTGCAACTTGTCTCGCAATGTTTATAGCTTGGAGAGTTCCTATTGGCTCTCCCCAGTACACGCTTTATTTTAATTAAAATCTGGCGCCAAATAGCGCCTCTCCCTAGTCTCTTCGCATGCCTCTGTCCCCTATCGTTGCGAGTTGCATGCAACCTCGTCCCCAGGGTCTTCCTCGTGGTGGCGCGTGAGCTGAGGAAGACCCTGGTAAAATAAACACCGCGGAAAAACGTCTGCGCATGCACCAAATTATGAAAATATGGCGGGGAATTTGAATATCAATTTCCAAAACAAAAACATGCTTATTAATTGGTCAAAAATTAGAAAAACAAACGAGAAAATATAGCAAATGGGTAGACTAGACATTAATTGAAAGCGTCCTGCCATTTAAAGTATGGAATGAAATATAATTCATGTAAAAAATTGTTGATTTTAACGGACACGACTTCGAAAATTTTTGCAAAATTATTCAAAACAAAAATTCAAACTCAAAAGTTAAGAAAACTCTCGAAAAGTTAAGCTTCTTAACCCACTTAAATTGTAGAATAAATCCTAAAGTTTAATTATTGTGAACACGAAAATTTTTTTTATTTGGCGACACAGTTTTTTTTAAAGAAATGTATCTCAAACGAAAATTCGGTAATGGTCGTTGCTTAGTTGATAAACAAAATGTTTCAGACGATAAATTTGTCAACAATCACCTTTAGTTCATGTTCTTGTACAATACAATTTCTTGAACCTTCTGGCTGTATTTATTCCTAGTTTTTAGAATGACATGTTTATTTTTGCGCTCGAAATCTGGCTGTAAAGACGCACAATGAAGTCACTCCTTTTTACCGCCATTTTGAGCCTTAGGAAACGTTCGGAACAGCTTCTCATCAAGTTCGCAATACTATTACAGGTAAGGTTGACGCATGCGCAGACGTTTTTCCGCGGTGTTGGTAAAATACGATGAAATCTCCAAGATTCTTGGAGATTTATCGCATGCGCAGTAACGACAACGTTATGTTGCTGACTACAATTAGCGCTGGCGCTTACGATTTTCTTGCTTAAAAATATACATGTTTTGTTGATAGTTTATGGATTTATTCTCAAAGTTTTAACAACTTTTACGAAAAATACTTCGGATACAAGCTGTGAACACACATGTACAAAAAACTGTGTAACATTCATCATCATATTGTATCAATTTGTCGGAGTATGGCGCTCAAATTTGTGACATTGTTTTGTTCGCTTTGGCAACCCTCGTATATATGCAGATGCTGTTCGGCTTCAAATGCGACTGAATAAACACTGATAGTGTTGCCTGGAATATGAAATGATATTGAATGATTGTTCCGTATATCAAGGTACGTACTGTACATTTATACTGGATTTATTTTCACACGAGTTTCAAACTATTTCAGCTTTTAATATGAACAATGAGATCACATCACTAACATACAGAAAGACTCCATATTTTCTCATCAAATGTGATTATCGTTACAAGTAACAGTAGAAATGCTTCAAAATTTATTCTGTATGTAAAGCAGGCCAGCATGTTTCATTTTCCTTTGGTGGTAGTCACCACTCACCAAGTCAAATAGGCCATTCCATTTAATAGCCCCCCCCCCCTATTGTCTATTGAGGTCTGGATATCCTATATGAGGATTTTATAGAGGGGGTTTTTACCTTAAATTTTTCTGGAGGGTAGCTTAAGAGATTTCCTAAAAATTAGGTGTTTTAGTGATATCCAAAGGGGCAGGAACAATATCCTAAAAGGGTAGAAAGATATCCATAGGGGTTCCAAAATTGCATCCAATGGGGTTCCAAAATTATTAAAGCTATTATGAAGAGACCCCTCAATAGGGTGTGGCAGGGGGGCTATATTAGATGGAATGGCCCAGTGTGCTGCAACAACTTTTAAAATTTGTATATATGTTTTTAAGGCACAATATGTGATGGAGTTTGATATGATGATCAGCACAACCTGAAGGTCTTGACTGAATGAACAACTTATCTGATATACTCCTACTTCCAATACTTTGCTGTATATTATCACCAGCTCAGATGTCAGTTGGATCACTTTGAATGAACATTGGAGTGGCACAATAAAGTGTCTGTATTAGGGAGGAGTCTAACTGAAGTAAAAGGCACACTTTTGGATATTAATCTGAATCATAGCAACTACATATACTGTAGGTTTCAAATTAGTTTGAAGAATGAACAACTGAAAATACATATTTATTTAATTGGAAACACTTAAAGGAATTACAACATATTATATGATAGTCATATGTACATGATTATAGGTATATTCATTAGTTTTACTAGCTGATATTTATGACTATCCTGGGACAACATTTTATTTTTCCCAAGAGATTTTACTTGCATGATAGTAATAAGTTTAATAGTAACAGAGAGGTGTGATGGATATGTGCAAGTAATTATCATTAGAAATACAAATATTAAAGGTGATCTACAGTCCGATCTGCGCATGTGCACAAAGGAGCCCACTTTTTATGATACAAACAGTTTAACTATGTTTTGGGTTCTTGAAAAGCCTGATTATTGTTTCTTGATCATTTATTATACTCTAGAAGCTTGAAAACATAAATAGTTGTCGAATAAAGCTCAATATTTTGGACACAAAAATGTAAACAAAGGCTTTGTTTACATACGGACTGTAGAGCACCTTTAAACTGTAATTTTGATCATCATTGTAAATATTATTAAAGAAACAAAATACAAAAGTCACACAAGGCTATTTAACATAATATAATAGACTGGATTGGTTAAAGAACTATTGAATAGAGGGACCATGAAAATCTTCTAAGATTACTACCATAGCTCTGTAACAGGAAAAGGTATATTGAGTTAAGGTTTCTTCACCTTGATGAACAAAGTTATATAGCATTAGAAAACTATAATGCCATCAACTAACTCCCATTTAAAATGTTTCATGTTGGTCACTGTGAAATATATAATCTTGAGGCCATCTTAATGATTGTTTACTATCTGATTGATGACATGATTATATATATTTCCATGGAATTCAAGTTGTTTTTCCCCAAGTTCATGTAAAATATGGTTCACCTGTTAAAATAATAAAATGTTTACTAGTTGTTTTGTAACAGAACAGTACCTGCTTTAAAGAAAATATAGGAAAGAGAATATTGAAATAACAGTTGTACACTGTATATGGAAAACAGAATAAAATCTTTCTAAGCATTTCTACTACGTACTGTTATCATAATTTGATTAACTGATGGGATAATATGAAGTTTTTCTATATGTTAAAAACTGTGATTTCTGAAGAAGTCTTTCTGTATGTGTGAAATGAAGTCTTGCTGTATGTGTGAAACTGAGTTTATTAGAAAATGTGATTTCCGAGACTCTGAGGAAATGTGAAAGCAACGTGTGAAAAAAATCGAATAAATTCAGTATAAATGTACATTACATACCTTGATATACAGAACAATAAGTCAGTATTTTTTTTATATTCCAGGCAACACTATCAGTGTTTATTCAGTCTCATTTGAGGCCGAACAGCATCTGATATATACGAGGGTTGCCAAAGCGAACAAAACAATGTCACAAATTTGAGCGCCATACTCCGACAAATTGATACAATATGATGATGAATGTTGCACAGTTTTGTGTACATGTGTGTTCACAGCTTATATCTGAAGTATTTTTCGTAAAAGTTGTTAAAACTTTGAGAATAAATCCATAAACTATCAACAAAACATGTATATTTTCAAGCAAGAAAATCGTAAGCGCCAGCGCTAATTGTAGTCAGCAACATAACGTTGTCGTTACTGCGCATGCGATAAATCTCCAAGAATCTTGGAGATTTCATCGTATTTTACCAGGGTCTTCCTCAGCTCACGCGCCACCACGAGGAAGCCCCTGGGGACGAGGTTGAGTTGCATGAAAATCATTGCAGCGTGTAACATAACCTGAAGTTCAGGCCCTAATTTGAAATAGGGCCTGACACAAAACCTGTCTAGACCGTGGGACGCCCACATGTTATTTTTAGACACACATGCAATATGATTGACAAGTGTTGTAGATTTCGTTACACAAAAAATTTATATTCTCATGAACATGTCCGCAGAGCATTTTGCTTTTTAATTAAACTTAAAAATTCAAGGTACTTTTATATAATTAAGAGTCAGTTTCTCTATTTAACCGAACAGGCGAACAGCAAACAAAGATTTAATTAGTCAGTTCTGTGCACGGCTTGACTGCCAAGCTTTCTCAAGGTCTCAACTTGCTGGACGCGGATCAGTACTCTAACGACTAACGGGCTAAAGGCCCTGTTACACGGTGCAATTTTTCATGCAACTTGTCTCGCAATGTTTATAAAAAGATTTTGATAATGCATTGCAAGAGGTGTTACACGTAACCTGAAGTTCAGGCCCTATCACAGAATAGGGCCTGACACAAAACCTATCTAAAGTGTGGGATTCCCGTCCACCTGGTGGACGGGAAATCTGATTGGTTGATCAGCATCATGAAGGATTTTGATTGGTTGCAAGTTCACATAAACAACAGTTTTAAAAATAGCTCGGTCAAGGCGAGAATTAATATAAAGGTCAAACGCACGTAACAAATCCATTATCGATTTCTTCGAATTTCTTTTCTTTTATTCTTTATGGCAGAAAATAAATCAAACAAACAGTATTTTGAAAGGGCTTCATCAAAATCTTTGACGAATTTGGACACACACGACGCTGAAAGAACAGCCAAACTAGTCATGTATTCGAAAACTTGTTGTTGACCGCCAAGATGTTCTGCCAACTTGCTTCGCCGGCACAAAAGTCTTATTTTTAATATCAGGTCCTACCGGCGTAATTGTTGTCTGAGCTACATCGCCTTCTTCGTGGTATGATTGAGAATTTAATTGTTGCTGTTATTAGCCCGTTAGTCGTTAGAGTATATCCGCGTCCAGCAAGTTGAGACCTTGAGAAAGCTTGGCAGTCAAGCCGTGCACAGAACTGACTAATTAAATCTTTGTTTGCTGTTCGCCTGTTCGGTTAAATAGAGAAACTGACTCTTAATTATATAAAAGTACCTTGAATTTTTAAGTTTAATTAAAAAGCAAAATGCTCTGCGGACATGTTCATGAGAATATAAATTTTTTGTGTAACGAAATCTACAACACTTGTCAATCATATTGCATGTGTGTCTAAAATTAACATGTGGGCGTCCCACGGTCTAGACAGGTTTTGTGTCAGGCCCTATTTCAAATTAGGGCCTGAACTTCAGGTTATGGTTGCCATGGCAACACTAACACTGTTCCTATTTGTTCATATGTCGATAGCAGAAGACTTCTGAACTTTCCTGGAAATGATTATATTGCCCTGTCTTAAGTGTGTTCAATATAAATTTGGTTCAAAACGAAGGTTACCTAAAATACTTAAAATTTTAGAAAACTGTAGGGAGCCACCTTACGAATCATTGAAATCGGAATATAACTGGAACGTTACCTCCAGCCGGAAAATTCGAAAGTTGGAGCCAAATTTTAACTCCAGACGCGCGAAATTTGATCTTCAAACATCTAACGTATATACACAATTATACCCGTCAGTTTTTAAACCTTACACCGTAGTGTGTTCAGTTAATCGAACTACGAATCGAATTCTATAATCGCTGACATTTTAAAAGCTATCAGCATAAAAAATTCTTACTTTGGTTGAATTAAGGTGGGCAAAAATGTGCATTTAGCCCGGCATTGCCGAATGCCGTCGACCTCGTTTCCGAGGACTGATTTTGCCACGTCTTGCTGACGTAATAAGTGATACCGACAAAGGAAAAAGGTCTTTATTGCCTCTTTCATAGAACAGTATAATAAGCAACAACAACAACAACAACAACAACAACAACAACAACAACAACAACAACAACAACAACAACAACAACAACAACAACAACAACAACAACAACAACAAAACAACAACAACAACAACAACAACAACAACAACAACAACAACAACAACAACAACAACAACAACAACAACAACAACAACAACAACAACAACAACAACAACAACAACTAATTTAATTACTTAATTATGATTTCAATAATATTATGTTTTTGGACTAGCTGTCAGAAGTGAAGATACTGTATTCCAAAAAATTTGCATTGCTGCATGTGTGGTTTCATTGATGCATGCTATTCGTGATATTCGGTTTGAATTCAATTATTCAAGAGGTCAATTTTGGTTTCTTCAGTGGTTATCTTTAGCCAATCCAGTTTTGCCGACTGAGATAACTATTTGCCGATTAGCTGACGAGTGGGGGAGGGGGGTGTTCCACCTCCCTCCTGTACCGCCGCCCCTGTATATATCAATGTACAAAATTTTCTGGGCTGAAATGTGTCGTCTTTTCCACTTTTCAAGAAACAGTCAGTGGAGCCACCTTAAATTGATTGGCACCAAGGTATTAGCCAGCCTGCGTACCAAGATATAGTTCTATGACTATATGGTTCTATGACTATATAGTTCTATCTCTGTGGTTCTATGACTTTACACCTGTAACATTATAACATTTTTGCTATTAGGTGGTTTTACGAGCTGTACGTTTTAGGTAGCTTCATAATATCATTTTATCAATCATTGTAGATAGTTTCGGTCGTCTTAGATCGTTTTATTGGCCATTTTAGATAGTTTTAGATCATTTTACTGGTTGTTGTAGGTCGTTTTAGAAGGGTTTAGGTCGTTTTAGATCGTTTTATATGGTTTTAGATCGTTTCAGATGGTTTTAGATCGTTTTAGATCATTTTACTGGTCGTTGTAGATAATTTTAGATGGTTTTAGGTGGTTTCAGGTCGTTTTAGGTGATTCCTTGTTTTAGTAACTACGAATTTTTTCATAATCATGAAGATCAGGCTTTTGACTGACATGTTTTTCATCCAATATGAAGAAAAAATGAGTATTACTAAATACGAGTTCGATAAAAATAGTTTGTCGAAAGTGCATATTTCCACCATTGGCGTTGCGCCTGATCAAAGCAGTGCATAACAAAACCAAAAGGAAAAGCAATTAATCACGAATGTGTCATTTTAAGGTCGCTCCCTACAGTTATTCTTGTTTAAGCAATAATTCCGTAAAACAGGCTTATTCGTGCAGAACGCGAATTCTTTTCGACTTGGTGGCAATATTGATCACCTAAGGAATATTTCGAACTAGATTTCGACGATATCAATGTTCCCATGGCAACATGACGACAGCATAAAGCCTTCCAATTTAACCCATAAATGTGCCGCTATCTCAAAAACGATGTCGGTGACCTATCTTTTTTATTTCATATATCAATAAGAAATGATGCTCTGCAACTGTGATGAAAGTTTAAAATAATTCTGTAGTGTGTGATTTTTTTAAAAGCGAAAAATTTATTGCGAAATTTCCACACTACAGATTTTTTTAAAATTTGAAATTTATAAAATTTACCGCAAAATAAATTCGGGGTCAAAATTTGAAGATAGGTCACCGATGAAACTAATGAGTAAAATGCAAACTAGAGGGCACTCAGAGACTGCATACCTCCGCCCGTTACTCGGAAGTGAAACGCAACCTTGGAATTTCCTAAGAAATCCACTTTATAATTCTTAATTAAGCATAAAAGATTTCAGGCCCCCGCGAATTGAAATCGAATTGCTAATAGAACATATTACTGTTGTTGTACTGTACAGCA